CCTCCAATTTACCCCCAATTGAATATTTAGAGATGAATAATTTACTTCCTGTCCATCAGTCTGGATTTGGATATGGATAAACATATTAATACAGTTTTAGTTATGGTCGACTTCTCTAAGGCGTTCGACACTGTTAACCATAAAATTTTGTTGAGTAACTTAAAGTATATTGGACTTTCTGACATTCCGCTTAATTTTTTCAAAATTACTTAACTAATCGTAAACAAAAGGTGAAGACAGTTAGAGGTGTCTCATCTTCTGTTGCCGTTTCTTCAGGTGTCCCTCAGGGCTCTGTCTTAGGTCCTTTACTGTATTTGATATATACTTTTGATTTACATTGTATTGAGCATTGTGCTATACAAACTTACGAGGATGATATGCAGCTTTCTTTTCATTTTGACTCGCCTCATCTGGATGAAGTGTCATATAAGATAAATTGTGGTTTTGCCAACATCACTGATTTTTGTAAAAGACACATGTTGAAGATTAGTCCGGATAAGAGTACTTGCATACTTTTTTATCCTAAACATTTGCATAATAGAGTAAGGGACAGAATTGCATTGAGCATCAACAACGAGCTCATTTCTATTGTGGAACATGCAAAAAATCTTGGTGTCATCTACGACTCTAGTTTAAGATTTGACAAACATGTGTGTCATCTATCGAAGTCCACCTACATCAAATTAAGACTGCTATATGCTAATAGATTCATTTTGAACTTTAAAACGCGTAAGAAGCTAGTTCAAAGTTTGATAATGTCCAGCCTCAACTACGCTTTAACCTTATACTATCCTTGTCTTGACTCGATGAATCGGTGTAGAATGCAAAACAACTGCTGTAGGTTTGTGTATGGTCTTCGAAAATATAGTCATGTCCCCTCTAAGATCAAGGAGTTGAAATGGCTGACAATGGATCAACAATTTGAATATAGTCTTAAGGTATTTGTGCATAAGATATTGTGTACTAAAAAGCTCATCTACCTCCATAGTAAATTAGTAACTAGAGGAATCATTATTCTTAGAGATCTGAGGCATAATAATAATCTGACCATCCTTTGCATTACACCGCATTGCTTCAAAAATGTTTCACTTTCAATGCTGTGAGGTTATACAGCTCAACCGACCCTGCCTGGAGAAGCAAAAGTGTGGTAACATTCAGGAAGCTGGTTAAAAATCAGATGTTAGATGTATCATAATTAGTTGTTACTATCTTTATGTTTTTTTTGTGTGTTGTCATCCGTTCAGTATTGGTTCTTCACTGGTTCCTTTTTGGTAAACCAATAGAGCGCGGATTTATCAATTGATTGTATTTTTTCCCTTTATTATTAGCTCACTTAGTTGAAAGCCAGATCAATGTATTTATTTTTAGGTTGCATGTATGTGACTTTGAATTGTATATACATATTTAATCACACAATAGGGTTGGGTGTAAGAGTAGCCAACTGGCTAAACTTCGCCCTATTGTTGTGTTGCTAATATAGACATTTATTATTATTATATACAGGGGAGTTCAAGAAACAATATCTCAATGATCCACATTGTCATCAAATTTCAAACAACAATTTATTGTACTGGAGAAGATCAACTTTGTGATTGATTCTGTCAATACGTGTTTTTATTGGCTAGACAAGCACGGAGGATTATGAAATAAATTCCCCACTCTCATTGGACATCATCAGGAAAGTATTCACAAACTAAGTTTAAATTGATTCTGCTGATTAGCAATATGCTTCTACCAACCACAGGTAGATACCAAAACGAGCAAGTGTTGTGAACAGCCTGTTATCAGAGGTGTAACCCTAGCTTAACGGCTATCTCTGGCTGCGATCAATAATGGCCCAATCGAAATTTATGGATATTAGCTTGCCATTGAATTGACTGTTGTTGAATATAAACGTATATCGCTTACTGGAAACTGCGGAACAATTAGGAATACTGGTATGATGTGCTATTCGAATTTGTTAAATCGTTCGCAGATAGCTCTCGTGTCAATTTGTCAGCGAAATATGGAACTGCGTCAGCCAATTTATTGCTTTTACATGTTTTGATGTACGCATAGGAAACAGTGATATGTCTACATAGAGAAAATGCGATATTTTTATTTTTGCTTCCATTATAAAGGATTCCATGTGCTCAAAATAGTCGATAATAATACACGAATATACGAAGTCAATTTATTTGAACAAATACTATTATGAGCTAGCAATTTAAGTGGGTAATATTATAAAAAAATTGTCTTGATCAATGAGATGCATGAGCTTGGATACTTTTCATAATGCCGACAATCTTGGGCTCTGAACTGGAGGATATGCACAACGTTTATCACTAGCAGTGTCGAGCTTGCTTCTGTATTTTGTTTTTAATTGCTGAAAATTTCCTTTCACACAAGTAAGTGCTTGAAAAAGTTAAAGTTTGTTTCAGCGCTTCATCCGGTATGTTGGGGGGAATTTAGAGACATTTTACCCTCAGCGAGGGCTTATTCATCTCCTCGAAACAAATTTTGAACCTAAGATTATTTTTTTCTTTTTTTATGCCGACACAGCCGCGTACACAGAAGCAGCTGCTATAAGGAGCCTAAAGACTCTTTGTGAATCGGTTTTTTGCACTGCCTAAGGTTAGTAGAATTGGGAAAAGCCTTTTAGGTAGACTGTTCTTGACACTCTAGGGGTAAAGGAACGGTCGCACCGGACTAGTTCTACATGCGCGAATTTCGACACAGTTAGGACTCGTGTCCGAAGTCAGGCAAGTGTGTCTGGCAAGCCCATCGTGCTGTGGCATCATGGAGGAGAGCTCTGAGGAGCAAAGCTCGTTGACATAGCGAGACTGTCCGTCAGAGAAGAGTCATCGATCAGCCGGAAAGCTCTCCTCTAAAAGAGCATCGAGCATGGATAACGTAGTCGAGACAGCAGCACCCCAAACATGTAAGCAATATGCAAGGCTAGGTCTTATGTGGGCCTTGTACAGAGTGAGGAGATTATGTGAGAGAGAGATTACTTCTTGGCTCTAAACAGCAATGTTATCCTGAGAAAAAACCTGAACTTACGATGACGTCACTGCTGTTATCTGTCATCGCCGAAGTCATCACTGACATCTAGATCTGGGCGAAATCCTTATTTTTAGTAATTCGTTTAGAGGAAAGTGACCAAATATGGAATACCATTTTTGTTTTTGACTGTATTCAGACCATAGTTCAATTAATTTTCGTGTTCTCAATACTGTTGGGTGTAACGGAGCATAATGAAAAAGTCATATCAATTTTTGGCCAAAATACGTCATTTTCCCTGTTCAGAAACTGAAATATTGTTTAAGGTGCATTCTTGGCGACTTCAAAAATGTGTCCTTAATATGGAATACCTTGGAACCTAATATGGAATACACCAAATTCTCATCAAAAAAGACATAGAAATGCTATATTTTCAGAACTAAACATCAAATAGAACTCTGTTACATAACGATAAACATAAAATACAAAAAAAAACGGAACTGAATATTATCTACAGAACAAACATTAAACAAACTTAAAACATTTCAGAAAACTTATTCCTCGCCTTCTGTTTGGAGGCCACTAAATGCAGCCCGCTTGTGCTTGGCTGAGTTAGGATACTTTCGGTTTCACGTTGAGGGCATGGTTGAACTTTCCTAGATTTTTTGGGGGCCTCAAGTTTTCGTTTGACTGCTTCAACTTTTTCCTTAGAAACGTTCAATGATGTCTCCAATTCTTTAAGGTAGGGAGAAGACGTGATAATTTTGGCCTGACCGGGTTTCCTTCCTCGTGTCCCTTTTTTTTTGTTGCAATTTGGGAAGTGGTAAAATGTCATGTGCGTTTCTACCGCTGGGGTATTCGGTCTACCGTACAGTTGCTCAATTACTGTGGGATTTGTTGCCGTGTTAGTCTCAGATTGTTCAGGTACTGCAGCGGTAGATTCGTCATCAGAGCCTTCTTGTGCAGCTTTCAGAAAATCAGATTCGTCGAAATTATTCCTGCGGACCGGATATAGCCCTGTCGTCTCGAATCCTTTAACAGCATTGGAACCACACTGTATCTTAAGGTAGGCCCTGCCGAAGATTTCTGTGATATCATACTGTGTGATGGGAGGTTTATAGGTTCGCATGAATACACGAACCTCCTCATTGTAATGGGCCTTGAGTGCACCCATAACACTTTTGTCTAATGGCTGCAGTTTATGGGTGGTATGAGGAGGCAGACATATTATGGTTACCCCATTCTGTTTTGCTAAGCGCAAGAACTCTAAATTTCGAGTGTGTGTGTTATGCCCATCTAAAATTAGAAGAGCCGGTTCATCCCTTGATGGTTTCACTTTAGTAAGAAAGTGGTGAAACCATTCTGTGAACAAATGTGTTTGGATCCATCCGGATGGATGGCATGCGAATAGAGAGCCTGGAGGTGCTCCTTTTTGAAGCTGAACATTCATATTTTTTCTGGGATATATTATCATTGGTGGTATAAATGTACCAGCAGCATTCATGCACATGATAACCGTCACTAATGAACCACGTTCAGCGGATGTTAGCGCTCCCACTTGTCGCTTACCCTTTAAAGAAATTACTTCGCTGCACCTTGATTGTACCACCGTCAAACCCGTCTCGTCAACATTGAATACCCTATCTGCAGGATAATGGACTTTCTTCATTTCGGCTTCCAGAAGATCGAAAAATGCATTAACATTTGCTTTGTTGAATCCTGCTACTCTGGCGAATGATGTCCCGGTAGGTTTTCTGAGTGTTAAGTTTGAATGTCTTTTCAAAAATGCCTTTAACCATTTCCTCCCTGCTTGCCCGAGGTGTTCAGAAAATCTGTGCTCGATGCCATTCGCAACTGCAAGTTGGTATGCCATTCTGCGAACATCTGTTCTAGTCAACCCAAAGAAACGATTGTCCATATCAAGCAAATAATCTGCAAGTTCATTTTCTAACTCGATTGAGAGGACTGGTTTTCGTCCTAACCGTGTGTCTCACACCGTAACTGGCTCTCCGTGTTGTTTACATAACCGGAAAAGGGTGCTTCGTGGCTGCTTTTAAATACCCCATTCTACCATCCCTAACTGCTGCCACTGCTTCCTCCATGCTTCCTTTCTCCCACAATTTTCTTCCATTTTCTTTTTTCCCTTTCCTTGACTTAGGCATGTCTGAATACAAACGGAAACCATTATTTATGTTTAAACAAATAGTGCACCTAATATGGAATATATTCCATAATTGGACCTTGTTGATATTCCATATTAGGAACGCCAGGCATTTGGAGGTTAATCATGTTATGAACTGACAGGCTTTTATCAAGGGAAAAATTAGGCTAGCAATAGACTAAGTCGTCATCCTACATTGTATTATATTGCGCAGATTTCGAATTCGGTTCAAAACACACTCTAGATATCAAAAAATACTAACCTGCTGCAAAAACTTTAGTAGGCGGCGATTCACTGTACCTCAGTTTTTGACAGACTGCAGATACTTAACGACGGTTACAGGTTTCTGTAATGGGTTTTGAACCTTGGGGCGACACTTCGGGCATAAAAACGGCAGATGGCGCAAATAATTTAGAAATTAATTGCGTATTCCATAAAAGGATACTATTCCATATTTTATCACTTTCCTCTACTATTGCTTTTAATTTCGGTTTCTTTGGATTCTAAAACATACCATCGGATTTAATGAGGCTACATAGGTACGACACCGCACCGGTTTCAGGCTGCATAATCAAAACCACCGGATCTGGAATCGAAGCATCATCGGAATCGGAGTCAAAACTATCGGAAACGATTTCTTCAATTCCCTCTGCAGTAATCGTCAATCAGAAGCTCTGTAAAATTAAGCTGACATCCCGGATATAACATGACTGAAACCATGTATATCAACAGTCGCCATACTGGACATCACTTGTTTGGATACTCAAGATAAAAAAAAGGTTAATGCTTCTGATACCATTAACTACGCTGCGATGTAAACACCCCTTCACATCATCAGGAAATACACAACACTAGAAAATACCCATCCTGTGTAAATAGAAGCCAGTAACTATTATTATGCTCCCGAAACAAAACACTATTAAATGTCATATCGCATGTTAAAGTATAATAACCCGGCTGAAAAGAACGACGTTTACGTTTTCAAAATGGCGGAGTTACTCAAATTATATGGTAAACAGTCTTTTATTTGAATAAGTTTGGAATAGGTATAAAACTTTGATATTGAAAGGGGAGAAATAGGAAGGAGCATGGGAAGTGGCTTACTTGCCACACATATTAGCATTGATTTTAGGTAGAGTCGGAGATATGAGATTGTTCCGTCCAGCACACTCATTTCTTTATACCTCAGAATCCGTAAGCGCTTACGGTTCTTCAATATCTTATTCTTTCTTTGTTATGTTAAGTATATGAGATAAATGAATTCTGATTAATTGATTAAGGGTCCTTCTTCAGTAAGAAATCTCTGCGAATGCCTCTTCTCCACTCAATAAAGCGAGTATGGGAGCATTACACTGCTGTTGCGGGTATCTTTCTCATTACGACCTAGTATAGCTCTAGCCCCAGTTCCATTCGCTCCTTAGCATGAGTTTTGTGACATTGTCCTTTGAGATGTCTTCTGTAACTTGTGAGAAGCATTCTAGTCTGCATTCCTGTCACTATTGACAATGAAAAAGGATGTATCCGGTATTATCCTCATTTAACCTACAGTACTTTCGTATATGGTTGTCTAATGTCTTAAAACGATATATGTAGTTTTGACAAAACCTGTGTCCCGAAATTTGGGTTACGAAAAGTCCATCTCTCCATGAGATCTGTTATATCACCATTATTAAAGTCTATGTCCAGTTACAGTTCCTTTTGCAGTGTCTGCGACATTTTTGGACAAACCTCCGCTCGTTGTTTCACCAATAAGTCGATTTTGGGAGATCTTCAAAAAACTGCTACTGCGTATGCCGATACTGTTCAATAAGCACTGCAAAGCCTCGGTGCCATTTTTCTTACCACTGCACTTAATTTCTGATGAGTTCTGCCAATACTCATAGCATCACACCGTACTGGAGCCGCGTATAGTATCACAGAGAATGTAGTACTGGGCTTAGTGTTCTCCTTTTGCTCGACCTGGGGCCTCCTATATTTGGCATCAGTCTGGGCCAACGAATAATATTTTTGTCAGGGCACAGACTTCAACTATCGACAGAGTCTTCATCACGCAAAAAAATCATTGGAAACATGTTCGAAATTTATCGGTCGGGATGTTCTGTAGGGACTACACTGCCACGCAAAATTAACCGGGCAAAAATATTTTTATTCAAATTAAATTTGAAATAACTTTTTAACCTTTTCATCAATTTCGTTAATTTTTTCGTCACGATCTTGCAAAAAAATTGAAAATGTTTTCTGTTATATAGGGTGTAATTAAAAGGTGCATTTTGCCCTAAATTTCTGAACACCCTGTAGAAACATTGGATTACTAAATAAGGTGTCTGCGTATGAAAATTTTAAGCCTCAACATTTCTCAACAGTTCTTTTTTTGATTCATGTCAATATCTCAATTATTGAAGAATATATGCTGTCGATGAAAATGAAATAACCTACAACTTGACGGAAAAATTAACGAAATCGATGCAAAGGTTGAAAGGTTATTTAAAATTTAATTTGAACACAATTTTGTTTGCCCGGTTAATCTTGCGTGGCAGTGTATTTGAAGAAATATCAATTTCTGACCGTCCCCTAAATTTATTTGTTAAAACTACTAACCTATACTCACAAAAACAAATAATATACTTTTCGGACGAAAGTATTCATAATCATTTACCAGAATCGATCAAATAAATAGACAACGTTATGCTCTTCAAAAAGCACCTCAAGAGGCTGTTTTTATCTAACCCTTTCTGTAGCGTATATGAGTTCCATGTCATTTTTAATGACCCTAAATAATATAAATGTCTGGAAATCCATTAACTTGGTATACACATGTACGTTTTAATCTTTGTGTATTCGGTTTGTTTGTTGTTCTTTTAGATGTGTTTAGTGTTTGCGAACAATTGTGAGTTCGAACTATTCTGTCTGATTCGTGATTTTAGGAGGTGACTAAAGGCAAATATCTAGTTGACCATGATGTGGAAATTACTACTAATATACCATTGTAATATTTGTCCAATAAAAATATTTGGAAGCAATTTAATTAATTTGATATTCATATACTAAGTGACATATAAATCCGAACACCCAGTTTAAATGGTTTTATTTTAATAAAATTTTGTATAAGTACTTCTAGCAGAAGACATCTTACCGAAACCGAAACTGAAGATTTGGATGATAAGGGATCTTACGTACGACCGCCCACGTAAGTGACCATTTTGACAAGTCTCATTTGGTGCTTTGAGAATATCGGTTTTCTGTTAAATAGTCATGTTGTTTTTATTTTTATCATTGATCACTAGTTCTTACTCGCGACTTCGTTCGTGAGAAATGGTTACTATACAGGGTGTTCATTTGAAAACTTCCTACCACGGATTTATCGAAAATCATTGATTAAAAGAATCAACACCGAGACACGTCACAAGATTTGTCAATGAGGACAACTTTTCAACCGAAAAGTACTTCACCCCTTCCACCCCCTGCCCCCAGAGCAATGCCTTTGAAACTTTTATGTGACAAGGGGTATCGAGTAATAGCTTGTTTGAAACGTCTTTCGAAGTTCTTTGTTTTGACGTTTGATTTTTTTAAAATCGGTCGATTCGCTTTCAAGAAAATCAGTAAGATCTTTATTTATCTTGATTTGTTCAGATAGAAAACAAAAACACACGAAAATATAATAAGTGACATATAAATCCGAACACCCAGTTTAAATGGTTTTATTTTAATAACATTTTGTATAAGTACTTAATGAAGCATAATAAGTAAATGATAAAAATTTCAAAATGATTGCACTGCTTTAAAGCCCTTTGACCTTTAATAATGTGTGGATGCACCCTGATGTGCTACGCATTCTCCAACGCGCCTAGGCATGCTTCTGATCAGGTGGTCAATGTCCTCCTGTGGTATCTCATTCCAGGCAACCACCAACTCCTCTCGAAGTGCTTCTAGAGTCTGAGGAGGACGTTGCAAATTGAGCAATCTCCTACCCATCATATCCCACACGTGCTCAATTGGGGATAAGTCGGGAGATCTATGAAAACAAGCCAAAACTTCTCATTCGTCGGTAAACACTTCGCATGCCAATAGGTCTTCCGTGTTCTGCAAACCATTCATTTGCAATGGACCTGGTAGTGGAGAAACGGTCCCTTAAGGCCAATAATCTTAGGCGGCGATCTTCACGGTCTGTTGTTCTACGGCGGCGTCCAGTGCCCCTTGCTCTTTGCGTACGGCCTTCTCGAAGCCATGCCTGACAACACCTAACCACAGTGCCTACACTTCTTTGCACTCTAACTGCAATTGCCCGAAAAGAAAGTCCAGCTTCCCGAAGTCCCACTATACGGCCCCTATCAAACTCACTAAGTTGACGAAATCGTACAGGTCTCCGTACTCTAGGCATCGTAACCGATCGTAAAGGATGTCAAGAACCAAAATCCGCCAACGTTGATTATTTACTGCGGCTGAAATATTCATTTTTAGAGCGTTAGTGAATTAAAAAAAAGCAGTATACAAACCGGAATGTCCAACTGATAAGGCTGAAAATTTTTTCACTTGTTATTTACAGTAACATAAATACATTCACCAACTTTTATCAAAATAAAACCATTTAAACTGGGTGTTCGGATTTATATGTCACTTAGTACAGTTTCTTGGGGCCTACAGAGCTTCCTCAGTAGACTCTCATCACACTGAAGTGAGAACGTAATACTACTAATCATAACGCGAAATTAGTTATATTTCCTAAGAACTTTTAAATTCAAAATTAAAGAAGATAAGGACCAAAGTTAAAGTTTCTGTTAGCCCTTTTCAGTGTCAATCAAAAAAATTGGTTTGTCTACCAACATTTTGCATTTTTCGATGTTGTTGTTAAGTATACAATGCTTTTAACAAACCTTAGATTGGTACTCAGAACATAAACAAGAAGTGGAATGAAATAAATGAAAATTACCTCACAATTGTCCAGGTAAAAGCAGAGACTGTGATATGTTAACACTTATCAATATCAATGCCGTGCTCTTATTCATTTTGAACGGCTTTGCATTTTTGGTGGTTATGCTGTTTTATACGCTGTTTTTTTGCTTTTTGCACAAAATGATGCTCTAAATTATAAGAATATAACATACACTGTATAGTACTAAGGATAATAGATGTGAAACTGTAAAAAATCGTTGATTTTTCGAAGAAAAAGGTTAAAAACTAGTTGAAAGGACACTTCCAAATACATATCTTTAAGACTATACTTTAGCGCATAAAGGCTGAAATTCTTGTGTTTTTTGGAAAAAATTGAAGAAATCATTAGAAAAGATAATTTTTTAAGGAAAATAGATGTAATACTTCAAAAAATCATTGTTTTTGCAAAAAAAACGATTTAAAACTAGCCGTACGATAGCTGAAATAACAGTTCAAAATAAAAATATATATGATAATAATGATATATATATATACATGAATGGATGGTATTTACTTGGTGCACTGTGTAGAGGTGTGTGTTGAGATTTGTTAATGTCTTCTTGAAATTCCTTACCCATCTTGTTTCGCGTATTTTCAATGATATCAAAGTTTTTCGGTTTATAAGAAATATTTGAAAGTACAAATAATTACTTACAGTAGTATGTGAGGATGTTGCTAATTGTTGTTTACGTATAGGATGAAGGAAACGCCCAGTAACATGGTGAAAGCTGGATAGATGGTACAATGGTCAAAATTATATAAAATATGACAAGAACAAGTTAAAAACAGATTAAAAATTTTTTAAAAACATGAAAGCATTACATCGTGAAGCCACTTGATGATTGCACAAAATGGTGGTCATGGAATAATGAGTGAGATGAACCCTTTGACAGAAGGCCGAAGGTTGTCAATGTCTGTGTAGAAAGATGGAACGAATTGTGGGCGTGTGCCAACGTTGCCAAATCACTTCAGATGATGTGATTTTCAGAATGTTATGTAAGAAATTGTTAAACCGACCAGAGGCAGTTGAATTAACTATATTTTAATTAATGGGAAATTAAATTAACAATTATTATTAAATCGTGAGAAGAAAATTATTAGAATTTGAGTGGAATGAAGTTTATTGGTGGAATCGACCAAGAAACAGACTCCATTTATGATTGTGAAGAGTCAAAATTTGGGGAGATATGTAAGTTCTCCAATTTTTCGCAGTTTAGCAAATATGAGTAAATGACACTCAGTTGCTTAACATCTGTCTTTTTGTTGATACAGTTGTTATTCATGAAAATGTGGGACATTTCCAGGAATAAACGTTTGGAAAGGTGTTTTTCTTTATCAAGAACTTTGATACTTGTGTAATTCATAGAATGCCCTGTTGTGTTAACATGAGATGCTAGAGCGCATCTTTCAGGATGAAGCCTAGAATCACTTTTGTGTGATGTAATCCTTCCTTTAAGAGATCTGGAGGTCTGACCTATGTATATTTGGTTGCAGTTGTTGCAATTGATGGAGTAGACTGTGTTGGTTAAGCCAAGCAGCGGGACTCTGTCTTTCATTTTTGAAAAAATGCAGTTTATAGTGAAGACGGATTTGCACGCCATTCGAAAGTTCAAAGGACTGCACAATCTGATCAGCTTAGGGGTCAGTTCCTTGATATAGAGCAGGACAGCAAAACCAGGTCTGGAGTCCGGGTTGGTGCTTGTACTGTTTGAATTGATGCTATTGTTGGGAATTACATCAGTTCCGTTATTTGGGGTTGTGCGACTATTACCTGCATAATCAGAGTTCGGCAAAATATTGGAAGGTGAACTAAATAAGATCTTGTTAATCAGACACTTCGGATAACCATTGTTGATGAACAGTTTTGATAGTTTACGTAAATTTGAGGTGTGGAAAGTATTATCTGAGATGATATTATTCCATGACCACCATTTGTGCAATCATCAAGTGGCTTCACGATGTAATGCTTTCATGTTTTTAAAAAAATTTTAATCTGTTTTTAACTTGTTCTTGTCATATTTTATATAATTTTGACCATTGTACCATCTATCCAGCTTTCACCATGTTACTGGGCGTTTCCCTCATCCTATACGTAAACAACAATTAGCAACATCCTCACATACTACTGTAAGTTAAGTCGATTTAAATTCATTTTACACTATTGTTGCTACTGTTATCATTGTAATTGCAGCTCCTGATGATGATGGCAAAGTCCATTGAAAGCTAGAGAGAATTAAAAAAGTATAAAGAGTCCTCTTTGCTTAAATTTCGTCGAAGTACCCAACAAAAGGCGCAAGCTTTAATTTTTCACCTAACTGGTCTAGACGACAATGACCACGTCTCAATATATATATATATATATATATATATATATATATATATATATATATATATATATATATATATATATTATATGCGCTAAAGTATAGTTGCCTTATGCCTTATATGGAACCCATGCAGAAAAATACGAGCTTAATGTGAAATGTCAGCACCTGTCAAAGTGGCGGTTTAGCCTAATCGACTTGAAGTATGAACTTGTGACCCGACCAGTGAATATGCAATTTCGGTTACATATAAATTGTATACTTGGTCCTTTTACCTAGTCCAAATCAGTTGGTCTAGTCTAGAGTAGTTTAGACAATGTCGAAACGATATTTTTGGTTAGATTTTGGAAAACATGTTTCAAAATCTGCAGCTAGCTCTCAACCTATAAATAGCAGCTTTTCACCTTATCTTCGGGGAACTAAATAATAATTTATTATAAAATTATATCAGCGATGAAGGATCTAAAGATCAATGCCTAAATCATTGACTAATCTATACCCACCAATAAATCAAACAAGGAAGGTCGTTGTTGTAGACGTTGACTTCAATGACATGAATCATCTTCACTTTTAATACGATAGCTTGTTAGGTTAAGTGAGTTATCGAGACCTGTCAGTGCAGTTAGTATAAATGAGCAAAACGCCTACGGTGGTGTTTAGAAAACGGCCAGTATGCTAATCGACTGGTTAAGGAAATGCTCGTTCTTCAGTTGTTTTAGTGCGTTATGCTAATGTTGTAGATACACTCAACATTCCGACAAATAAGTGGAAAGTAAAGATGCAAAGTTAGTGATACTCCTACTAACGTTTCTATAATGTTGCAGAAAGTTACAATAGACATTTAGCTCTTCGCAAACGATTTTCTTGTATACTGGTGTATACGGTTTATGATTAAAGCTATTTGTGTATCCTATTTAGTTTTATGGTATAGTTTAAGTTCTTGTGTGTTTATCTGATATGAGAATATTAACGCTCGTTGAAGTTTTCTCAGAACCGGCAAAGGGGTTGAAAGATGACAAAGCAACTAACGAGAGATCAATTTTTCTTTCATTAATGTGTTTTATATTATGTGTAATTCTTGCTAATTTCTTGCTCTGGAATCATTTTCAGTAGTTCAAAAATAAAAGAAACTAACGAATTTTGACTCCATTTTTGCTACTGTGCAACCTAAGTATGGTATTTTGGGTCTCCTAATCCGAACTATGCTTGTATTTAATCCTATTATCCGATGGGGAATTGTAAAACTATACTTCTTTGCTGTGAAAAATCCAGTTTTGTGATTGGTGGCGACAAACGAATGAAACTTGACATGGTTAGGTAACTTGAGACACTGAATTGGAATACGATCATAAGGAATTCTAAAGTACCATCGGGCGAATTTGGAGTAAAGAATTAGCCATGGTGCCATCTATTAGTTTCATTAACATATTGACACATGATTCGGAATCCAGGCACCCGATCTGCCCAGAAGACCATCTTTTATCCAGATCACTGATGCGAAAGGATTTTTGGAAATGTTTATGATTTACTTTTCGTGTTAACTTAAATTATTCCCTATAGCAAAAAAATGCTACATAAACAAGCTACTCATTTTACCATACGCCACCCATTATGACGAAATCCAGCTAGCGCAAGCATGATGAGTATTCAAAGAACCTCACATTTCTGTCGGAAAAATACAAACAACTTTAAGAGTTATGAAATGTTTCTTGTGCCAAGAAAATCCACCACTAAGTAACCACTTACCTGCCAATCGATCCTTGACCACCTGTGAAGCGAACGCAGCAGCAGCCGCTGATCTTTGCAAAACTGGGTCCAACCCTAACGACCATGGGCTGAAAAGTGCCGCAGCCCCATTTGGTGGACTCCCTGGACCTCCCAGAGGCCGATGGGCAGGTACCCTCAAAACACCTTGCCCGTAAAAACCTGCTGGCATCAAACTTAAAGCATTTCTTTGATGATGCTGAAACAGTCCATTTGCTGGTGAAGAGTACAATCCACCCATATCACCTTCGTCTTGCTTTTGGTCAAAGTTCTTCCCGAGAAGGTTCGATATACTAAAGGGGAGAGCCGCATTGGATGAAGATACGTTTTCTGGACTACTGCACCTGCTCCTAGAGCTCCTTGGTTCACTGTCTGTGTGTGATAGTCTGGAATCTGTGTCGTCCAGCACATTGATTTCGCGGTCATCATCATGTTCGTGATCCGAAGACATTTTGGTAGAATGTAGAGATCTAGTTAGAGATGTTGGCGACTTCTTATAGTCTTACATCAATATGGAGAAATGGAATTGCAGGAACATGTTTTTCTGTACCCCAAGATTGCAGTTTAGGCAATGAGATATAGCGCTTATTACGTCTCAATGCTGAAGTTTCTCTACGTCATTGAAGCACGGTTAGCTCAAAATTCTGCCTCTCAACATGCACCGGCTCCTAATTAAGGATTGCAATCTAGACAATGTGTTTTAATGTTTTACTTAAACTGTTTAGCCTCAATATGAAGATCTATGGTAATCATTGAAACAAGGCTGGTTAAATATTCTGATACAGGTTCAACTTTGAAGACTGTAGTCTGATCATTGAGATTCTAGATTCTTGTTGAAGCTATTGTGCCTTGCTGTGGAGATTTATGAACATTATTAGAGAATAATTGGATCAAAATTCTGGTCCTCGTCATGGAGTGGTTCAACTTTGAAGACAGCAGTCTAGGCGGTGAGCTTGCGTTTTGTTTAAAGTATTATACCTCACTATAGAATTTAATAGACACCACCGGTTTTGGCGAGTAGGTACTTTTGATGTGCTTGCTGTCCAAAAAAAACACGTTGAGTCTAGAGTACCTTCTAGGCCTCCTGTTGCTCACTCATACCCGAACCAAGTCCACATATATCACGCGAAAAGTCCCCAACAAGTCTTCGAAGTTCTTAAACGAATCAATCACCTCACGATTGAGCCACTAGCAACGGCGCGGATTGAGCTTTTCGATTCGGCAGTCGGCATGCAACTGCGGCTCGCAGCTAGGAGGCTCGTTACCATGGCAGCGGAGGGACGCAGTTCGAAACGGAGACGTCGATTGGACGGATAGACGGTTGGCGCCACGCCCATCAGCCATTCCCATTGGGTTAAACTGATTCGGGTTAAATTGAATCTCTTTCTGTTAATTTTTTTGGGGATCAAGTGAGCGGTTTGGCGGAGCCGGGCGTTTAGCGGTGCGGCCAGAGGCGTACGAGTAGGGGTTTCGAAAAGGACTAAGTAAATGGCGGGTAAATCGGGCTCATTGATGTGGATTTGAAAATCAAAAGATGCGATGTGTTATGGCATGTCCTTGCTGAGGTTAGAAAAAAATTTATTTCAAATGTACGGTTTTGTTTTGGAACTAAATCGTGTAATCTCTTATGGCGTCTCAAGGTCTAGTTTGCAAGGAGTGACTCATAGATTAGATCAGCTGACCGAGAATAAATGAATCAGAAAATTATGCATATAATAAAGATCTTAGGATTCTAAGCACTAGATAATTCAATAAGGCTTGTAAGCTTTCATAACTCTCGCTTTTTCCACATCGATCGAAAATCCATGCAAAACAGATGTCTTGCACGTACTAGGTTGTTTTATAATAAAAGGATATCCACTATTCGAAAAAGTTTCCGCTATCTTAAGTATTAATCCGATTATCTAATTAATAGAATTTTATATCAACAGATCTGGCAACGTTGGTTTTACCACAGTAGTACTAAATTATAGAAAACTACTTTGCCTTAAAAAGTATACTCTGTACTACTGGGTGGTGTATAATCTCTCTATGCCATGCCATAATATTCTTGCTAGTCACTTCTTCTATTGTTCATTAAAAATTGTGACAAAGAGAATAAACAAAGTTAAACAAACCCGTTGCGAGATGTTTGCATTTAACAATGTGTTGTTAGCGACATTGTGGTACTCAACAATATGTCACGCATATTGACAGTGTCAAGTATTCATAATTACGTTCAAACTACGCAAATTATCCTGTGAGCGCATTCAGCGGTGCAAGCCTTTTATGCTGAATAGCAGTAGCTGTGAAATAGCTTTGATAGTTCGCAGCATGCAATCCATTAACCATCAAGTCCGACAGTCAAGAGAAAACTGCTAGCAAACTGACAAAGCTGTCTCAAGGTTTCTGCAATTCAGCATAAAAGTGCTGCACCGCTGGACCACCACCTATACGTTGACTGAACAACGCAAGGCAAGTCATATTTTGCACAGTATCCAGATTTTCAGTCATTTAATTCAAGATTGCCTTCTCGCCCACTCTGATGATGGCTCTTTGTTTTCTGTTTTTTTTAAATATACGTTTCCAAGTTGAAGGTTGTCAGAACGTGCAATACACGTTTAGCAACATGCAGCCGGTACATTTTCTTCGATTTTAGCTGATGTTGCAAACTGATGTATCCGCGGCGAAAGCTGCGGGCTGTGTTCCCACATAAGCCACGTCAAATGATGCACGCTGCAGTGACTTGTAATAAAAACTTACCTTTAATGAAACATTGATCCACAGGTTAGATTGGGTTCTTTGAGAGTGAGTCAATCGCGATCCGTTACTGCGAGTCATTGGTTTATTGTGGCTCACACCTAGTAGCTCCGACCTCCTTAAGAAGTCGATCAGCTTATTTGGAGCAATACTACTCCAAGTGCATTTTACCTGTCTCTGGCAATTGCAGTGCATCTTCACAAAACGTGCTTAACCACCTCGCCCTACCGCATTCATAGCCTGCGCATCTGGAAGCAGTGTTTAAGAAGGCAACGAACTACAACTAAGCGCACTACAGAGAGAAGTTTGCATATTGACCAGTGCAGTTTTTTGCACAACGCCAACTGCAGCTTTGCAGGTTATTCTTATTCTACCTTGAAGGTGAGGCAAGAACTTGTAGGCTACATAATGTGACAAAGTGTATAATCATAACTACCAAAATGGAGAAAACATAGACGTTGGTGGACATACAGAACGACCAAATGTTTCTTGGAATGATGCTGAAGACAACAAAATATTCAGAACTCTACGCAGCGATAATTCCTCGAAGAGAACGGCAAACCGGCCTGATAAGCAAAGATATGTGTTCATATACAGATAACTCCAAGACCGAAACAGGTGTTGGGGCTGCTGCTATCTTCATGCCGAGGCTAAGGACGTAGGAATCAGTCAGCCTAGGAATATCCGATATTCAAGCCGCGCTTAAAGCACTTGACTCCATCTTCTGTTATTCGCGTAGAATCGCGAAGAAGCTTTTGGTAGCACAGGAGATTCAAATCAGGTTCGTCTCATATGGATACCACAACATACTGGTCTAAAGGGAAACGAAACGGCTTCATAGTGCTTATTCCAGCGATCAAAATCGCGTACAATACGGCTAAACGAATAGTCTCTGCAACTAACGGAAAGGTCCATCAACACTAGGATGGATTAACAATATCAATTTTAACAAGGTAAGGCTGTGCGGTGTGGCGCACCGAGGGCCCAACGGTTTGAGGACCACGCAGGAGTCCCAGCTTCTCAACCGCTTGTTTTGTTGGAGCCGGGTGAGTGGAGAGGTGACTTCAAATAAAGCAAGTAACTGTATTCTCGATTACAACTGACATCACACAGTCTTGCCAGTGTTACCAACCACTTGGACTTAGATTTAGCTTCAAAGCCGCTTTTACCCGACAAATTCATTTATACCGAAAATATCCGTTTTTACTCACTTTTAAGTTAAAATACTCACCTTATACATTCACATTTTTTTAAAAAACCGAAAATTGCTGACAATTTCCATTACAATTTTTTGCTCAAGGGCGCCGATACAAACCTAGCAGAAGGCCTCATGAGCCCTAACTACGCCACTGCTGCGGCTAACTAGGAACAGTCATAAAGCTTTAGTGGGATTTGTACAAAACTGGTCATTGCAGATTGCGTCACCACATGAGTGGGTTGGGCATTGCAAACCATCGACCCTCTATAAAATCTGATGCTCCGCCAATGGACGATTGAACAAGACAACAGTATCTCGATCCTTGTTGGGCAGGGATACCGAATCGTTTTCGCCTCCCTATTACTCGCGTTGTAAAAGCAAGTCAAGTGTTTTGTTTCAAGAATTAATTGTCATTTTTTATTCGGCAATCTCTTTGCTTTTGTTTCTCATTCTCCTCGTCGGAGCCATTTTGATTTTCTCGGAATCGCTGTCCAATTATGCCCGCTCAACTGTTTAACAAATGAATTACTCTTTTATAATACGATTAAGTTTAAATTTTCGCAGGCGTGAGACGTAAATTATTCATTTATTCATTTTAGTGGCTCTGTTCTACATTTTGCATTTATTAGAATGTACTAGTTTTTGTTTATAGATTGTTTCTGAAAGGCTGAGCTTAATACAGCAAGTACCTGTTCATTATTTTTCCAAGTGCCTTCATGTAAAGTGCTGTCAGCGGCAGAGGTGTAGCTCGGATTTATTATGTTAGAAAAGGAAGTCACTGATATGCAGCGAAAATAATGCAATTTTGACGTTAGCCTGGTCATGCTAAGTAGTTCTCTACTACTCAATGAACTATTATCAAACATTGCAACCTTTGTATTCTTAATTGATATAAATTCTGAGATCCTTATCTTATAAAAACGACGTCAAGTATGCTGACTCTGCACTTCCACGCAAAACTGCCTTCAGTTCCTAACGGATCATCTTCAACATATGTTAGACCGTCTGAGAAACAAGTTGCGAATATGTGAAACAGAGAATAAATGGATAAAACCAATCAAACAGGTCCATACAATTATCCCTTAAATATCTTTTTCCTGTCCTACCGACAGCACCGTCTATCTGGCAACGTCGCCCTTCCACCGCGATGAATCGAGTCGTCAGGCTCAGCAGCGTGGCAGTCATGGAACAACACTCATCGTGGAAACTGTGAGGCCGATCAACCCAGAGAGGCAGAGAGAGAGAGAGAGAGAGAGAGAGAGGGAGAGAGAGAGAGAGAGAGAGAGTTAGAGGCGCGTGCCGAAAACAAATAAATATACGGAGAAATATATTATAAGTATGCGAAATACGTCTAATAATGCGTAGAATTACCGCGTATAAATATACAACCGCCAAATAAGGTATACCCTCCCTCACCCCGAACAATCTGTAATTCTCAATTTTCAACCCATCCAATGACACTAAAACGAAAAAAAAAGAAGTCCAAAATTCGAGCAGTACTTTCAAAGTTATAG